ATTACTTATTTTGATGAAAGAATTTATTTTTGTGAAAATTCAAGAGGAATTTTCCAATTCTTCTGTGTCAACGAGGGATGTTAACGCGGGAAGTATAATCAAGCTGTTCTCGAATATCACGAGAGTTATTGTATAAAAAGGGCGTACTCCTAGAAATTTGGGACAACTTCCAAAGAAGAAGGTTGAAAGATACGAATTGCGGAAATATTAACACGGTGTTTATATCCGAATCGCCTTCTTGATTCTATTATAAGACTCAAAGCGGCAATCCTGTCGACGGTTCGAGCGACGTAAACCCCGGAGCTAATATCTTTGGCATGACAGACGTGACGTGCATCCCTCTGCAATAGCCATTGGCCCGTGAAAGAACGCACCGACGAAATAATAGACCTGCAAAATTGAAGACAAATCTACTCTACTCTCGCGGCCGTTCATTAGTCATGAACAGCTGGGAGGGAACAGGAGGGAATTAATCAATGTTTATCGGCAAAATCGTTCATCGAGGTATAAAAATCGGGGGAGAAATTGCCGAGGTGCACGCAAAAAAATGTGCCTCAATCGAAAATATATTTTATACTTTACGTAAGTCTGCATTATCTTGAAAATGACTAGAGCGATGTACTTATTTTTAGTTTGCAATAAATGAGATTTTTTTTTCGTGCACCAATTTCTTCAACTTTTTTATCAATGTAAAGCACGAGCGGAAACTGTTGGATATGGTTATCCCGTGTTTGGATGGTTTTATGCGTCTGCAAATATCGCATTTGGCTTTGCCGAGGTGAACTACTCTAAACGTAACTTTACGCGATTCCCCAGCATCATTGGTATTTGATTAGTCCAGGTACGTAAACCCGGCTTTGCTTACTGGATTTAATCATCTCTATGCAGTCTATTGAAGAGGATAACTGACCGATGTCGTACAGACGTACCCTAACTTTCAATAGTTAAATATTTGGCCCGCGGTGATTAACTCGAGATTCGTTGATTACTCCGTAATACAAACTTTCACTTTCTCATTTTTTCAATATGAAAGTTGTGTCGAGTATTTTTTATTAATGTTTAAATACTCAACAGTGAAAGTTGATCGTTTGACTAATCGAAAAATATCGAAAGACTGAAAATCTGAACACTAATTGAAATAGACTTTAACTATGGAAATTTATTATTGATTGTTTGAATTTTTCAACAATTTAACATAAGATGTTGAAATTAAAAATGCTTAAATTGATTATTTGACATTGATTAATGCGTTATTTGAATAATTAACTTTTTTCTATTATTCCCGTCGTTAAATATCTCGGAAAACTTGAAATCTCACTGTAAAACGTCACGCACATCTCGCGACTATCGAGACACGCGTGAACAAAAGTTAAATTCGTGGCGCGACTAATTGTAAAGGCGACACGTGCTACGTGAGAGTGAAGTTGAGGGCTCAAGGGATGGGTGGTACCGGTGGGAGAAAAGGGGGTGTACGGGAGGTAGCAATTAACTTCTCCTCACGAGATTAGAGCTAGATATTACGAGATATCGAGCGACTTAACGGCAACACGCGAGAGACTTCAAAGGCGGTAATAAACTGCCTCTAATGAACCCCTTATCGCCACCCTCACCCATCGACCCCCTGGCGAACCACCCTTACCCCGTATCCCACTCTCCTCACAACTCTGTTCGGAAATTATTCGGGAATTCTTCGATTCTGGGCTCCACGAGTCGCAATTCTACTCTATTTTAAAGAGAAACTGATCACTGCCTGATCAAATTTTTCAAAGTTCAATATTTAAAATTCCTCTCGATTTTATAAATCACGGTTTTTCACTTATCCACCCCCTTTCACCCCCGATTTCATACTGGATTAACGCCTTCCACTGGTCCCCGCAAATTTACGTAATTTAACCCACACCACAGGTTCATTCTGCGTGACGAGTTATCGTTAGTCCAACTCTTGTCACGAGGTCAACGATAATTTCCCCGTCCATTAGGAATTGGGCCAAAGCTCTTATAACCCGTAACCGGTGTACAAGTGTCTGACGTCATTCGTCGACAAGTTAATGAAATTCTTCAAAAATTTACAAGGTAAAATATTTTGTTTCTTCACGTTGAGCCACGTGTTAAGTGGATTGCGTGCTGTTGTATTTCAATATTTCAGTTTCACTTCGAATATTATAAAAAAATTAAATTAACGAATTATTGACGAGCGATATTCGCTCCCCCCGAAATTAGCCCAAACAATTAACGAACAAAATCAGCTAACAACCGAAAACACTTTTCCACGTCAACTTCTCAGAGCGCTATAAAGCAACCGGAGACACACGAGAAAAAGTTTATGCAGCGTCTGCGATGCCGTCAGGCCCAATCATGTTGATTCAACAAAGTACCTTAACCCACCTCCCTAAATTGCTTGAATTTGGTATTCGGCCAGAGGATGTCCCATCCCAGCCCACCCCCTGACCCCCTCGCCACCCCCGCACCCTTCAAGAGTCCCGACGGATTTTCCCCCGACGACGGCGAAGAAGCAGAAGGAGAGAGCCCCCCCCCCCTGAAAATCGGTGAAAGGGGTTGAGAAAAGGGAGACTTGTCGGCAAGGTCTGATTGCACATCTAGGCCAAACTGGGGTACCGCGACGTTGGCCCGTCGGACAGGCGCGCTCCAGTGGAATGCCACTGATGATTGGCCGCCGACATTCCCTCCCCTTAACTCCCCTACCACCCACAATCAGGGCACCCAACACACTTGCCCTTGTCCGACATTCAACCCCTCTCACTCCCTCAAGGCACTTGTGCATACGATGCCTCACACACGTCTTTCGTGCACACGATGCACTATACACTTGCTTCACACAATTCCAGCGTGTCCGTACTGCCGAAATGCCTCAGCAAGGGGTGATTGGACGCATCCCGGTGATTGTAGAACCCCTTTACCTCACCCCCTGAGTCTATCTCACTCGGTGAATTCAGTCGTTTCCTTACCCTCTTCAACGAACCCAGACTACTACCGCACCGTTTTCCCACACAGACGTACCTTTCAAGGGGTAACTCAGGGAACGGGGGGGTGAAAGGGGTTCTCTCTCCCTCTTTCTCATCCCCGTCGGCATCACCCTACACGACTGTAAATCGAGTTTACCCTCTTGCCGTAGCTCAGCCCTTCAATCAAACTGATTGAAACATTCCTTGAATCCAAAAGAAACGAGCCATCCGCTACCACCCACTCATCCACCCCCCCTCGCACTCTCCCACTTTCACGCTTTTCGGGAGGTCTTGGGGGGATTTTTTCTCTACCCCTTCTTTCAACCCCGAGCTCTCCGAAAGTGGCGCTTTCGTTTTAGGTTTTTTTTTGTCTCCGGTTGCTTTTTCTGCGTTTTTTTGGAGTTTTATATGTGTTGGGAGGTTTGGGGCCATCTCCGGGGGTTCTGCGGGGACTTTGGGGGGTTTATGGGGGTTTATGAGGGTTTTCCCATGATTGAATTTTTTATTTTGGCGGTTGAGAGAGGGGCGTTTCATTATTGGAAATCGTGGGGACTGTTTGAAAAATTTGTAGTGAAATTTCGAGTAAGAGAATTAAAAATTTTTACAACGGTGGGAATAATTGGAAAAAATAAATTTTCAATAAAAACAACCAAAATCGATAATGTCTTTGGCAGAATGGAATTCAAATAACAATTCAAATTACCGGGATACACTTAAATTCCAATAAATCCCGACCAGAGCTAAACCTTGAGGTTAAAAATCCAAAAGACAAACGACATCTCCATTCCTCCATATTCTACTAGGAGCTCATAACCCCCGAATTGATTCAAATTTTCCGTATTCGAAAATTCAAATATATCCCGCGTATCCGGGATACTTTAAATTCCCTCACCGCGAGCGTCTCCGTATATTCAGTTTAGGCTGAGAGGAGTTGTACCTCCAAGATTGCTCCATCGAAGTCACGAAAAAACACCGAGAGAGATTCAAATAACAAGAGTCAAATGATTTCCAGACGTAAATAATGACTATTGGTTAATTGGCTCTTAAAGCGCATTGTTCGAGTAACTGAACTGCTATATTTCAAGAAGTATGAGAGGCTGTCGGTAAGACAGCATAATACAGCCAAGTGGTCTGAGCCATCCGACGGCGAGAGATGGACGAAAATTTTCGAGTAAAAAGCGACAGATAGAGAAAGCAAAACGCGTAGTTGAGACCACGTTAAATTCTATTCCGGGCGGAGTCCAACTATGTCGGCGTCTGTTTCTCATTAAATTACGCTCTGACCTCGAATCCTCTAAATTTGGAACGGTTCCCCGTGATTACCTACCATCAACCACGGGGTCTTGTATAAGACCAGGTTCTACGGATTTTTCAGACACCGGGCATCCAGGAAGCCATTGCTCCATGAGTTTCTGAATAATTAGGCCCTTCAATTAACAACACCCGGTCTTACCAAATGAACTCAGGCCGAAGCCATCGAAGCAGGAAACATTCAGACTCAATGACAATCGAATTCTAATTGATCTTTAATCGAGAGGCAATGATTTTTGCGTTGAGTAATTGTTATCCTAATTAAGAATCATGAGTTGGCTTGACGAAGTGCTCTTAATTCAAGGAAATAGCCAGGATATTGCTCAATGACTTGTTGAATAATGCATTCTTCGATTGATTACTGATCGTCAAGTCCTGGAATAGTCAGAACCAGTGAATTCACTGGAACGATGAATTCATTGAAGCGGGAAGCATTGAGATCTCTCAATAATCAAATTTTTAATTAATTGAATTTGAAAATACCGTTCTTGAATGAAAAACGACAAACTTCTTCCCCAAATTCAACCCGGTATCAATTTCCGGTATCCGGTGTCAAATCAGAAAAGTTTTCTTTTAAATTTCGTAACTCGTTGAGCTTAACGTCGACGAGTTCTCAATAATTCTTCGACTGTTCATTCGTATTGTCTAGATTAACGTTCATCCACTGACCGCCAGTGAAATAATATCATCGAGCCGTCACACTAGAGTTAAATCACTGTCACTCACCTCGTGTAGTCAGGTTTGCAGAGGACCTGTCCATTCTTTATGAAGCACGAAGCGCCCATTTCTGCCAGGGGATGGTTACAAAAAGCACACTTGAGACAACTGTTGTGCCAGTAGCGGTCGATCGCGTGCAAGAAGAATCTCTCGACTATCCTACCACCACATCCACTGCATGTGTGGATCATCGATCCTTGCTGACCGCCCTCCTGCTGAAACACGAAAAATCTAATTAATACCTCAATCAGCGAACCGCCGTAAAAATAGTTAATGACCCATCGAAATAGCCATTTCCAATATTTAAATTTCAAGCTATTGCGTCACAACGAGATGGAACGCCCGGTGATCGTGTCTCAACGATTCTCACGGACTACTCGATTATAGCCAATAATATTGAAATATCACTAGGGGAATGGGAATATTGTATCGCAGGTTTGGCCGCATCCGTGTCCCTTACGCAAAAGTCAATCTTCTTCGGATCACTCGTTCGAAACCGTCACGCATAGAAAGCAGCAAAGGGCCCCATCCCACTCGAAACCCCAGCTTTGTCGGTTTCATGGTCTACCTTGTCATTTCCTGAATTCTCTTTTCAATTAACATCATGGAATGATTCATTGTTCTATAAAAACCGTGAAGTCATCGGTAATAAGAACTTGAGAGTCAAGTTGAAAACGATTGAGAGGTTACGACTTGATTAACTCATACTCTTGAGAATTTTTACCTGAAAATTCGAGGAATTCTACAAGGTATTCTAAAAAATATTTTGAAAACTCATAAAAATCGTTTGTGGAAATTCACGAAATCTCACGGTTTCTCACAGAGAACATTATATTGAATAATAACATATAATATTTTTTTAGAGTAGTCCACGGAATCTGCCTCGCACCCCGAAAAATTGAAAATTCACGAACATGTCCTTGCGAAGTGTTTCATACGTTGGACTTTCATTCCCAGCGTTACCGTAAATATTCCTCCCCTCCGTACTAACTCCCACCCCATTCCCTCCCTCCGATGCCCCCTCCACAGAGAAAACCTCTCTCTCCCCGTTTCTCTCCCAATCATCAGAACAAGTGTAACTCGTTCCTTTGGATTCTCTTACTTTGATATTCACGGGAAAATACTTCTGGTTCATCCGCGCCGTGATGGCGTTGTAGTGATGATGCGCGTGCACCTCCATGAGGACCTGGGTGCCGACGGACGTTTCAACAGTAACCGAAGGATAAAAAATCCCTCAACACCGAGTTAACGCACTGATAATCCAAAATATTCAGCATCCACTTCACCACTAGAATCCACCAAAACACAATAACACAGCTCCCACCGAATCGCCCTAACTTCAAAATCATTCACACTCCCAACGTAACAATTGAGATTCAAAAATATTTCACGTAAAAATCCACAAGGCACCTGAACACCGTGGTATCGTGTACAAACTGGCAAACGAGGACGACTGGTTTTATTCTGGTAGTTGAGTGGGAGCAAAAGGAAGAGGCCAAAAAGGCAAGAAGAGGATGGTGAAAAAAAAAAAGGTTGTGTAGCGTTTGTGAAAGCGTGTGGATAGCCCAAAGGTAACACGAACCAGCCCCGACCGAAGTCAGGACCCAACTGACTGCTCGGGGTCTGCCGGTTTGCTTTGGGGCCCTGAATGCCTCACGGGGTCTCTGGGTTCAGGTACCCCAGTGCGTTGTTGCCCACCATAGACTGGCGGTAGAGGGGAGGACGAGAAAGAGGCTGAGAAGAAAAAGGAATGGAATAAAAAGGCAAAGCCTAGAAAGGACCTAACTAACGTTTCAAAGAGGGAAGGGTCCGAGTGCCTGGCGAGTTGTTCCAAGTGGTGGGAGAATAATTCGGCCTATCTCTCTCTCACTCATTAACGTATACCACTCTCCCCAACATCTGTCCTCCTCCCCCATCTCCGCCCCTTCCCTTTTTTTCCCCTCCATTCAATTATATTTCTCCATGGTAAATACCCATATTGTTACGTTTGTCAATGGCGAGCTAAGTGAGGGTCACGTAGCTGGATAATACCCATAGAATTTCATTCCCGATAGCTCTCTCTTCCCCTACACCATTCCCCTGGATCCTTCACCTCATCATTCTCTATTTGCTATTTTTCCAGTCCTGCTCGTTCAATCTCTGATTGCTACGTGCAAGTGATTCTCCATGCTCGCCCACTCTAACCCACACTCGAATCATCAACTCCACCTCGGTTCCAAGAATGCTAGAGGCTAAGGTGTCCCAGCAACACAAAAGAGCGTAAGGATTCAGGGAATTTGAGAATAACGAGAGTACGAGGAATTAAAAGACGACAACTTTCGTCAATCGTCGGCTTTCTCTCTCCGATAGTTTCACAGCAACCTAGTACACTTAGAAAGTGCACGTAACGTATGTAGGCGCACTTAGGTGTACTCTCAAACACCTGATGATGCAAGATTCTCTATTGACGATGGCTCATTCCCTCAGTCTGATTTCACACGGCCATAAACCATTATCTCGGGTAATAATCTAGCTTCACATCACCAGCATGTCACTGCCAGGTTGCACAAGCTATTTGACTATTCATGTGTCGTACCACTCAAAGTCGATCGGCCCCGGGACCTTTCGATGAGAAAGGTCACTCCACCCGACAGTCTATTCCCAAAAGCAACAATCATGTCATTCTTACCTTCAATGTACAATTGTTGTTGTGATTGACAGGCGGATACGCCGGATGCCCTGGCAAATGTGGATGCGTGTGGACAGGATGATGGGGATTGTCACCCATCATACCACCACCATGATGATGACCATTGCTACCCATACCAGGTGTTCCACCCAGTGAGCCATAAGGTGTACCAGGATCTGTTTGTCCTGAATGACTTGGTGGTGAGTGAGGGCTTGGTAGATCTGGGGTTGATGTACTACCACTGCCACCTCCACTGCCACCACCGCTGCTGCTGTTGCCTGTTGCGTAACCACCGTGATGAGGACCACCCGCTCCTGGGTGGTGTGGACTACTTGATAATGAGGGATGATGGGGGTAGGCTGCTGTGTGTCCCGGATGGTGGGGGTTCATACCAGCAGTCAGAGCGCTCGCCAGCTTGGCCGATGATATAGGCGGGCCTCAGAGAGCCCACCAACGTCTCGAGGGGGAAAAAAAATTTTGTTTGCGGACAAACAATATTATGGCATTCAGTACACCGCGGTCATACGCCGCTTCCTCTTTTCCTCGTCTTCAACCTGAAATCATAAGTCATATTCAAAGTTATGACAGACATATTGGATATTTCAAAGATTAAACCCTGCGCACGTTTAAAATAATTACCGTTCATTCCATTTGGAAAAAATTATCCATAAAATACAGAGTAAATTGATAGTTATGCTCGCGGCAATTTAAACCGAAACGTTTTTTTAATGAATTTTTGAGATATAGTTTACAGTATAAACTTTTTCCTCCTGAAAATGACGGGTAAAAATGGTGAATGGTATTGTGGAGCATCAGTTTAAATTTCTACACTGATTTCATTAAAACGTCAAGCTACATTCTACTTGAATTTAATCATCCTTATCGGATAACACGATGATGAGATTCCTCCAGGAGATTTTAATACACTCCATGAATATTCGGATTTAATCAAGATACCATGCCCAATAAAATGTATATTTTCCGAATAGCTTTTTCTCGGGATTCTATCACGAATTGGCGAAAGATGTATTCAACGTACCCCACCTTCCAGCTGAGATACGGCTGGATGGAAAGTATATATCTTTTACCCAGTAAAACCCCTCATTTTACGAGTATTGTATACAGGCACTTTCCTCTTACCCGCGTCTTTTATACGAACTACCCCTCCACCCCTCCCCCATGGGTTCTCTACAATTTTCCGTTATCCACTCTAATTAAGCATTTTATCGTTTTAATTACATCGCCTTGTCTCCTTATCCACGGGATAAACGACATTCTTCGTGGAATTACAATCCCCAAACCATTTTGTATGGGATAAAAACGATAAACCGAGTGTCATTTTATATCTAACCCACCCACGCTGAAAATGCTCAGTCTTGCCAAGATCTTTCGGAAAGAATTTTCTGGTCATTCAAAAATAGTCTATAGAGCATAGATCTTTCGGAAGATGTTCAAAAGACCATCAGAGAAGTATTCCGAAAAATGTCTCCTCTTCTTCTAAAGGATATGTAATGTGTACAGGCAGCAGAAAATTGTTCCATTACAAGATTGAAGTTAAAACGAGGTAATCGTGGAATTTTTGGTATTATCGGTGCAATTAATCAAGCCAAGGAAGCCCTCACCAGTTATTAGTAAGATCAAAGCCCATTCATATCGCAAATTCTCTGTTCCAATGAAATTCATTTGCTGATCAATCTGTAGGGAGCCATTCTAATGACACAAAAGCTTGTAACTACTCGAGGAACGAAATGAGTACAACGGAAACAGTGATATCAAGCTTGGCTTCTAGCCCACCAGTCCGTCTCCATTGTACGTTGCGAACAAAGCTAACCCTCTAATTACTCGCCTTTATGATCTTTTCCGTCGTCCAATCAGATCTTCTCATTTCTCTGGCTGGTTAAAGTAATCTCATTAACTCTCGGTGGCCTAACACCCAACCTACCCGGGTCTTCCAGCATTACCCGACCATCTAGAAACTTTGTCCACCATTTTCCTCCATCATCTAGCTTTAATTTTCTTCGTTTCTGCCACTGTATTATGTGTCAAGCACGAATAACAGCTTTGGAGAATATTTATGGTGCGATGCCGAGCAGTTTCTAATTTTATATCGAAAAATATCGAAGTCGCGCTGATACAATTCGATTAGTATTGCATCAGGAGATCAATGGAGTGATTTTGGAATTTAATACTACATATCTCGGGTATCAGTGAGATATTTTAAATATTAGTAAGAATAGTGCTCACTGTCAAATTACGATTCTCAGAAAAAATATCACTTTTGTCATGTAAAATAGACTTGCCACAAGTGAATGTATGAAATGAGACGATTTTCTTGTAGTTAAGAAATTTACTTGGCAAAAGGAGTTTTCTTTTCTGAGTGTAGTACTAGCCCAGGAAAATGAGCGCAAAGTGCCGGGGAAAAATTCCACTGTCGGCACTTTACTCGAATAGCACTAGAATTTTTCATAGTCCATAGATTGTAATTTTTGCAGTTTTTTAGTACTACCAGAGGAATTTTTCTAAACAATTCCTGACGTGTGGATTTACTTTTTTCTTTCATATAATTGTTCTATCGAGAAATATCAAGCGTTGAAGTTCGTTAAAAATTTTCTCGAAAATTGACAGTTGAAATACTTTGAAATTTCTATGAAACAGAAGTGCAATAAAAATTTCGGAAAAGTCCATAGACATAACTTTCCACAAATATTTTTAACACCGTAAACCTGAAAGCTAATCCGAGAATCCCTTTGAAAACAATTACTCCGAAACTCATTAAAAACCTCGAGTAAACATGTAAAAACATGAATGGTATTGACAAGGGATTTGCCCTCCCCCAGTCGTCAAAGTGCATTGAAGGAAGTACTGCCATCGGGTAAATAAGCGGAGATTTATACGGGGCTTGACCCAAACGCCGAAGGGTGGGGAAGAGATGCCAAGGTGACCAGCCGAGTTGTTCACATTCCCTGGCAACATTTTCGTTTACCTGTCCAACAAAACCCCAATGGATTAACCAGTGACCCGAGAGGGGAGGCCAATACTTAATTAATAATGACGGTCCTTCTTGGTAGCACAGCGTGTGGCTGCGGTGCACCAGGGCCCCTGATTTTAAAGGCCCAACTCATAACTATCTCTACCAGGGACATTCTTTATCTCGTCTTTTATGTTTTCCTCTTTAACCTCACCGTCAAGTGACTCCCAAGTAATCAACTGAGGCAGCCAAACAACTTTTTGAAAAATTACGTGACAACCCGTGGTACACCGATTGATTAAAAAAAAATAACCATTAATTTTACTAAGCAAATTTTTTGTAATTTGAGCCAAAAAACGGCAATACATCGGATGCATCCAATTAAATTCCCGTTGGTAGAGGACATCCCGGGAAAAAGTGTAGAAACCTCGAGAAACGGTGCTTGTCAAGTTATTATACTCTGTGGTATTGTTGCTGTGTAATTTATGCTGACATTTATTGATCAACGTAATGCGCTATTCTCCGGGCATTTATTTAGCATTAGGAATTTAATATGAAGGACGGGCATCCAACAGTGCACAATGCTTATAAATATTTGGAGGGAGGAATACCAACAATCACCAATTACCGCAAATAGTTGTGAATTATCATTGACAATTGGAAAAGGTCAGATCCTTGTGTCACGTGGTATCCGCTTCTGCCTCAATCAAACATTGCACGGAAGTCGATCTTGGGATTGAGATAACCATTTCCAGGAGATAGTGCATGATAATACGTGTGTGCTGTACTTGCGGGTAATTACCGGAATGATAATGACGGTGGCTGGCTGAAGGAGAGTACACATACGTATTGAGGTGGATCCGGCCAGCTGATAGAGATAATTAACGATCGTCATGAAGATCGAAAATCGTGAGTGTGTACCATTGGGAGATGGTCGCGCGCGAGGACGATTACAAGCGATAACGAGATGGCGATGTTGTTAGCGATAAGAAACGATAACGAGGACGCCTGTTGGCTGAGATAACGATGATAACGAAGAAGTTTTGCATTGCCAAGGCGAATCGCAGATTTACTTTATGGCGAATAGTGCTAAATTGTTGCTGAAATTCAACAAAATGCTGAACCCGATTTACGATAAATTAATATATTCATTTTTGTGGCAACTCTCCGATAAAAATTCAGGATTTTAGACTCAAAATCCAAGACGTCGTCATGTCTTGTTTAAATATCAGTAATTATTAATTGAATTTCGAAATTGGAGTATTCAGTGAAATTCTCGCGACAATTTACTCAATTTTCATCAACTTGATTGAGTTTGTTTTAATAACAACAGATTGCTCTAGATTTTGATATCTAATCAAGGCGACATTGACGTTAATCCTGACACAATTAGTGGCATTAACTAGATTTCCAGAGGACTAATGATGGCAATGACGCGAAGGTCAAGGAGACAACCTTTTAATTCAACCACAAGATAAATGAACCTCGAAATCGAATGATTTGTAATTCCCCGAAGTGTAAAAAATTCCGGGTCAGATTGAAGAGAGGATTGAGCATATAATCGAAAAAGAGTACGCCTTTTCATTTGGGATATCCATCTACTGTGGCATATAAAGTTAATAGAGGTTGGCCATAGGGCTTACCAAAAGATGATTCAGACCTCTCGTCTGAGCCCGCATAATTACTATAATCGTTTTCACTAGTAATTAGATTATTTTCAAAAACTCGAGCGTCTCTCTCGGTTTGGAATACAGTGTCTCTCCCTGGTGGGACTCTTTTTTTTTAGCCGACTTATTTCTTCTGCCATTCAACCCGTCATTATCCCACCAGAGTTATCATTACCAGCGCCGATTCACTCCAATTTTTCTTTATTTTTATTTTTTTTAATTCTCGCCAGGACTTTTCTCACTCGTTTTAGTTTTTGCTGGAGTTATCCCCTTTTGTATATTATTTCTTGCGAGGTGGTTTGTTCGAGCAACCTCTTCACCTGCAGAAGTCGTACCTTTGCGACGCAATTTTACTGCAGAAAGCGAATCTTACGGTCGGCCAATGCCAAAGGAGCTGAAAGTGTTATTAGAGGATACAAAATACTTCATTTTATCGTTTTCACTAGGTTGTTGCATGGAATGCACCTACTGCAGCCGCTTCGGCTTGGATATTATCCTCGGGGTTAACCCTCCTGGCCCGACACTTGGTTGAGACAAAGGGGATAAACGTGGCGCGAGAAACAAGTGTATATATACCTTTCAAAACAAAAATCAAGGGGAAATGGCGGAGGGGCTGACTCTTGACCGACGGCAATTGCCTTCCTTCGATAAAACCACCTGAAGGTTACTCGGTAACTCCCAACCGTTTGCATTTTATTGTTTAGCTATTTTCTTACTCCTCCGGCTTTGCATGCACTCTTTGAAAATGACTATTCAAATTTCAAACATTCCACAAATTTTCACACCAATTTCCATAAAATTTAAATGGACATTTTTTAAAATGAAAAGTCGAATCATTTTTTTCAAATCGTTAATAAAAATATTCGCATTGAAAAATCATAGAAATGAAATAGAAAAACAGTTCGCGTTGTGCACCGGA